CTCTTTCCCCTTCCCCCCCAAAATGTTATCACGTGGCCTGAGCCTTTATCACCTCTACCTTCAAAACGTGAGTAGACAAGATGTCCCGATGTGTTTTCATGAAATGGTATTGAAGCAAAATTACCTTTCTTTTTCTTGTTCTAGTTGTTTTTCTTTACCTATATCTGTCTGATCCATATGTGCTGCAGATCTAAAATTTAATAGCAATGGGGCACAGGACTGTTGGGAAGGATGGAAAAGGCATTTTACAATTTATCAAGTCATAAGTAGCAGCACCTCATTTTTAATTTAAAAAGCATTGACTTTTTTATTGATAACCAGGCACAGTTAGAACTTCAAGAACTGACTTCAATTCTAATATAAAAACCCTTTCATCTCACCCTTTCCTTACCTACAATGTAAGAATGTATATTAATAGCTAAATGCCATTTACTGATATTTTTCCTTAATTTCACTTTTTTTTCAACCCAGCAATGATTATCCATGAAAGCACTTTGTAATCTATAAAGTGCATTTATACATAAGGGATTATTACGATCATTTTGATAATTTTACCATGCAGAGAAAAAAGACTGAAATTATTCTCGACTCCTTTCTGTAGAAATGTTTCAGGCTGACTTGAAAAAGTACGAGGTTTATGCCCACAGAAAATGCAGTATCGTGGTGCTGAATCCTTTATCCGGATCTGAGACCATGTCACCCCAACTGTACAAATGATGTCCATAGACCAGTAGGCTGGGAGTGGCCTTTTGAAGCTGGAGTTTCTTGTGTTTGCATAGGATTTGACCTAAATCTTCGAAAATAATTGGTACACTAGCCCTTCTCTTCATCTCTTTAGCAAAAGAGGGTATGAATTGTTCCTCACTGGTTCCTTTTTAAGGATAGTTTGCCAACAAGAACATTGAAGCTGGTCTTCATTTTCCCCATACAGACTGGAGGAAAAAGAGGATACCCTCAACCTCTCAGGCCCTTAGCTCTGGCAAGTGCAGAGGAGACTTTAGAAGGGGCACTAGACACATGTCCGCATCCCACAATCTCTACACACCTCTGGTAGCCTGGGGTCTGGCTCCTGGTGGCACTGAAAGCAGTCCTCAGGCCTCCTGGTGTGTGTGGGGGGGAGGAACTTGACTCTGATGGTATCTAACTTGGCAGGGCTGAAAGAACTTTCTACTGAGCTTAAGAGATTGGGATTCAATGATCAGCAGATGGTGTAATGTTCATGTCGCTGGACTCTCACATAGTTAATGTGGTTTAAGTCCCAGACCTGGCAGCTTAAAATTCACACCAAGAGCATGTGCATGCATTCCCAAAGTTCCGAGAGAATAGAGGAGAAGGGATTGTGGCATGACCATTCCCCCTGGGGGATGATTTCTTGCTTTCTGTCTGTTTCTCTGGCAAATGCATGTGCCCTACAGCAAAAATCTCTCTAAAAAAAAGAAAGAAATTGGGGTTCAAATCGTGTGTGGCCAACTGGTAGTAAGACTATGGGATGTTGCACAGCTGTTTAGAGCCTCAGTATTCTTTTCTGTTTAAGAAGGATAATGACAGTTAAATGAAACAATGAGAAAAAACTTTAATCTATGTTGAGCCCTTTAGAAGCCATCACTTGCCTCTCAGAAGTAAGATGATCTGCTGAACATGAAGCATACAAAAAGAAATGCTTAGCTTTATTTACTTTCCTGGTACACTTGAAGTAGAAGTTTGAATTTATAACCAATGACATATCCTAAAACTGGATCACCATGGACTAGAGTTAACATTGGAGCTGCTTGTCAATAAAAGGTTCTATTTCCAGGCAGTGAGATGTCAGTGGCCGGTATTTATCTCACATATAAGGAAAAAATATCTTTGGCTCCTGCAGGAGAAAAACAGCTGTTATGTGACACTGTTTTGACTATGGCAACATCTTGTAGTATCTAGCGACTCTATT